GGATTTTGTGTTATAACACTATTTTTGGATTTGCCACATTTATTAATTTTTAAAAATTATATTTTTTTTAATGTTAAAAAAAAAAATTAAATTTTTTATTATTATTTTTTAGTAAGGGCAAAACAGTATTTTTTGGGTGCGATGAATAGTAAAAATGAGTGCGGTAATTATTAACACTCCCTCCATAATGCAACATAAACTTCAACTCAAGCATAAATAAATAAATATATAGGTAGATAGTATAGGTAGATAGATAATTCTCTGAGCACGATAATAAATTTAAGAGATACACCCAAGACTCTACATTGTTTGACCATTGAATCACATGTAATAAATTTTCGAATTTAAATGTAAATTTTTCATGCATGTGTCAATTTTAATTTTGGTGCTTCGTTATGTATGTATCAATTTTAAGTATTTCAGAATTATATATGTCAAATTATGATGCTACATAGTAGTTTACGTATATTTGAACTTTTGTTCATGCTTATAGTACTTTTAAAATTATCACTTTGTCAATATCTATACTTATATAAAAGAGAATCATATTTACTATATTTAGTATCCAGAAAAGTCAACTGCATTAAATGTCGTTACTATTTCGGTATTAATATTTTATTTAACTGATTTATTTATCTATATATATAATAAGATACCATTTTTAAGAAATGGCAGGTCAACTATATGGTCAAATTCTTTTATCATTAATTACTTTTCATTAATTACAATTGATTTGTTTATTATTTCTTAGCAAAAACGGACAAACATTAATTGATTTCCTTAAAATGTGGAAGTTGTTGCTTTATTTTTGTACAAAAAATCGGGCTTCATTATAGAAATTTGTTCAATTATACAATGAATTTGCTATGATATAATTATTTTTTATGGGAACTTTTTTTTTAACAGAAAAATATGGCATTTCAATAAGATTTCGATTTTTTAAGACTGATTGTTATCATGCTATAAAATTGAACATTCCAATATACCTTAACAAAATATACACGTGTTATATACATCAGTTAATAGAAATATAGAATCCTCATATTTATATATATATGTGTGTAATTTTTCTATTACCAAATTTAATTGATAGTTGTTGTGTTATGGGTTTTTCATAATTGTTACTTGGTTGTTGTGATATTTAGTTTGGTTGGTGTCACAAAAATTCTAATCTATATATATAATAAGAATAATCATTTAATGCAAATTAGAAAAATATTGATATTAGAAGATATTGAGTTCATGACTTTTCTTAAATCAAAGTTGTTTAATTAGTATACACAATTAAATTCTAAAAAAATATATGTGTATATTTTGTACATTATTTATACCCTATTTAATTTTAAATTTATTCACATATTTTAAATTGATTACTTATATAAATAATACCAACGTGCATTAAATATATTTCATTACATAAAATAAAAAGAACAAGAAGATGTGCAACTTCTATAACTTTATAAATAATAATGACATTATATGGCAACAGAGTTTATAGTAAAATAATAATTAACTATTATATAGTGAACAAGAATAAGTAAAATTGTTATTTTCTCTTATATCAAAGAATAAATATATAATAAAATCAAATTTATATTAGTATAAATGTGTTAGTGAGATAATATATTAATTATTGTACAAGTTAGCCCTAACGTGCTCACGTTTATTGTTCTGACTAATAAAACAACGCTGATTAAAAGATGTGAAAAATAGATTACAACCCTATTTTTTTTAGACTTAACGGTGATTAAAAGAGGTGAAAAATGGATGATAACCACTTTCAGACTTAAACGGGACTTAACGGTGATTAAAAGAGGTGGAAAATGGATGATAACCTTCTCAGACTTAAACGGACAGAGCCTGTGAAAATAATTCATTTAATATCTCTCTCATGTGCATCGCACGGGGTACGTACTAGTAACTTATAAATATATTTAAGTAATTTTATTCATAATCGTATATTCAGATATGAAATATCAAATCAATCATTTTTTGGCATCTTTGATTTACATTCATCTTGCATATATTAAAAATATTTATATCTAATTTTTTAAACAAAATAATATATCTAATCAATCCTAATTGAAAAATGATAAAACTATTATTTATTTATCAAATAAATTTATCTATACAGTCCACCGTTAGGAAATTTATCTACACAGTCCATCTCATAAGGGGGAAATAAAAAGTTGTTTATCAGTAAGAAAACTAAAAATGCAAGCATATTAACATAAGCAAATAATTTGTCGACAATCCCTTTAGGGGTGATTGGATATGAATTCAACTAGTAAAAAATTGGTTATTTATTAACTATAGTTAAGTTTAAAAAAAGTAGTATGGTTAGTTGTTAGTGAATATATTAAAAAATAATATTTAAATTAAATTTATTAAAGTTGATTTGATGTAAAAGTAGGAGAAAATGATTGAAGTGATGGTTAGTTAAAATTATGTGAGTGGATGAATAGTGAATAAAAATTGATGTGATGTGTAATAATGATTGGTTAATATTATTTAATTATATTGATAATATTGGAAATAGTGGAGTTGAGTTAAAGTAGAGTTAAATTTGAGTTTTGATTGGAATATTTACTGTACAATTCATATACAATCACGCCCTTTATCTTTCTGTATTTTGTCTCTTTAATTTTGCAATTAACGCTTTGTAATCTTGTTGGTGAAAACTGCTATAAACAAATAGCAAATATGATTACGAAGCTTATCGGCCTGTGGCTTAAACTCAACACGTTTTAAATTAATATACAAAAAATGCTATAAGTACATAATAAATATATATAGAGGTGTACATAACACTCGCGTGAAGTGGAGTCCATTTGATTTTTTATTTTGAGAAATGCTATATGTACATATTACACTCACATTGAATTCACTTGTAGTATTTTTCTTTTATTTTTTGTCGGTGTCAATGTGAATGTTATGTACAACAATATTATGTACCTATATCATTTCTCAATTACTAAACACAATTTTTTGGCATTCTCTATGTAACCCAATTATGTCTAGCTTAATCCATACTACTATATAATTAGGTGTCGGGTTATTTCAACAATTTGGACAGGGTTAGCGGGTTTGGTATGCTTCTTTCCGCCGTCTGAAAATTCAAGATGAGCACAGAAGTTGGGGTTTTTATTAGGGTTTCCCAATTCACTCTTCACAACTCTATATAAGTCCAAAAATCCTGCGCAGCTTCTTCATTATACTGCAGTTCATTTTTCCGTATGTAATCTTCGAACGAATGAGCCCTTTTCCTAAAAATCCCCTGATTTCATTCATACGTTGAAAGATTGATTTTTTATTCTCTCTATTGTGTTCAAAGATTGAACTTTTATTTTTCCTCCGTGTTTATTGCACGTAGCTACCCCGGGCTCCTCTGAAATTCACAGATGTAGAAAGAAGCCCCAATGCTAGTGCTAAATTTTCGCCCTTTAGTGTTGCAGATTTGCCTCTTTTGTACCTTTATTCCACGGCTTATCTGTGTCAAATAATCGGCTAAATTTTCTCCTCTGAAAACCTGAGTTTCATGCCTAGCCTTTTTTTTTTCGGTGTGATGATTTAAAATCTGTGGCTGTGATTAATTTCTTATCCGCGCTTCTGAGATCTTGACGGTCCATGAAGCATAATCGGAAAATAATGGTTGAATTTCTTGATATGAGCCATTAGCTATATAAATACAATGTTTTCTTAATTTTAGCTGCTCCTTATTTTGATTTGGCAGTGATGATTTATTATACAGCTTAATGCCAGTTCTGCTTCAGAAAATTCTTGATTGATAAAGCTGTTTATTTTTTCTGAGCCCCCTTTTCTTGACAGTTTGATTTTGTTTTACTACATTTTAATTAATCTCTAAATTGAAGCACTCTGATTTCTTAGGCTGTATTTGAGAATAATAAACATAACCCAGATTTAGGTAATTTGCCAATGATGTTTTGTTGGATAGTAAATGAGTTGTGGTGAGGCCAAGTGCCTGCATTTGCAGGTGAACCCACTTGGAGGAGCCATGTTACATATGATCAGAATCCATTTACTGAGGCAAATACCTTTATTGAATTTTCAAAATTATTATCTGGATTTTTAGAAATTGATTATTATATTTGGTGATCTCTCTGTAGCTTGTGCCTGAGTTTTAACTATACCCTTGCTCTTGGATTTTTATCAAGTTTTTGGGGTCTGAAAAACTCAAAGATTGTTTGTGTTGTCTATCATAAAATGATACAAATTTTGCATAAATTATATACTTAATTATTAAATTACATGAATTTAAAATACTTGAAAGTTTAATATATGAGAGACATTGTCTATAAATATAAAATATAATCAATATAACAAAACTTATTTTTAAAATCTAATTTGAATAAAATAGATTTCATTGTAAATAATATTTGATTTAGACATATAATTTATAAAATATAATTAAAAATATCATTTTTGACAAATTTAGTGTACAAATATGGGGCACTGTTGTATACACATAATATTAATAAATTTTATAATTTAATATCCGTATAATACTATTATTTTTTTAAAATAAAAACATTGGAAAAAAGGAAGATAAAGTGCAGTGAAACCCTAGCTAATTTAGTTGGTGTATATAAAAGCCCCTCCCCTTACTCTCTTACTCGTCAGCCTGTCTTCTGACTCGGCTAAATCTCCTTACTCAGTTATTCAGTTTCTCTCTTGAGGAGACACTCTCGCTCTGAATTTCTGTCCACGATTTTTCGAGTGTTTTGTGAGTCGTTAAGCCTTTGATTGCGAGGCCATTACCCAATGTCGAATCCTTGCAAGTTTCGAGTGTTTGAGTTATTTGCTGTTGTTGTTGTCACTTTCTTGTTTGTTTCAGCTCGTGAAAGAGTAGAAGCTGCTGGGAGAAGCCTGGGCTCGTTGCAAATAGATAAGATGAGTTGCTCACGTTCAGGTAAATTGGCTGGAACTTGACCTTTTTATCACTTTTGCAGTGGTAGTCCCTTGTTGGGAATTCTCTATTGGTAAGTGGTTGCTGGTAGAACTCTAGAATTTACATGATTGTTATTTGTTAAGTTTGCTTAATTCTGTTGTACTTAGCTTGTAGCTGTGCTGATTGTATTGTGCATTTACTCCCTGCTATGTTGATGAGGAGATCTTGATTGGTCTCATTCATCGTAGAGGCAATTTGATTTGTTTTGCCAATTCTGATATCATTATCCATCTATTGAGTATCTTCTTTAATTCCTATTGTCTTTTATTTCGATGAGCTAAGCAATACTTATTACAATTTTAATAGATTTGCTATATGTGTTTTTTGATTATGTTTTTACCCATGATCATGGATGTGAGCATATGCTCTAAAGATTCATGTGTTTTATTTTGTCTCAATTCGTAACATGGTGTGATAACAATATTTTCTAAATTCTTGAGTTGCCAATGAAGATTGTTGTTATATACTCAATGATATATCAATCAATGATTATAACCAAACTACTGCCTTCCTTCTGAGGCATGAATATTTGTGATGTTTTTGTTATTTTTATAGTATCAAAGTTTTTGTAGAAGAGTTGACTCCTTTATCTCAATGGAAAAGAAGAGGATCATGTGATGATCAAAAGCTTAGTTCAAATGATCTAAATTTGGTTATAAAACTCTTAGTCTTTCGCTCCTATATGATCATTCCTGTTATTTTTTTACTCGTATTCACTCTTCAATTTTTTTTATTTTTTTTATTTTGGGATAAGGATGAACATAATATTGGTCTCGTTCGTCGTAAACGTGTCTTTTGATACCTTGCCGACCATACTGATATATCACCACCCATAATCTGAGTCCCTTTGGATTTAAGTGGATCCATATTTGTTAAGTTGTATTTGCAAACAGCTGCGTTTATGTTTTTATTATACTTCTTACCTTTTAAGTTATTTTTGGCCAATGATTAAACCTTTTAGTAAAGACAAGCATATGTCTGAAATTTTATTTGTTGAAAGTCTAATCTTCTCAATGAGGCCACACATTATTAGTTTTGCTGATTAAATGTATTTGGTTTTGTTATTTTGGTTATTTTGGGTTAAGGATGATTGTTGCTTTATTTCTGACACCTCTTGTATGAGAAGCGCAGTTTGCTCTTCTGTGAGCACATAAAGCATCTATCTGAGCCTTTATACAGTTAGGATTTAAAAGGTTTTTCCTTTTTGCTCCATTAATTGTGTTGTTCGTCGTGTCTTTTTAAATGTTAAATCTTTTCTATCTATTTATTTTGTTTTTTGAGTAGAATTTCAGGCAACCTCCATCTTTTTCATTGTGTGAAATGGGTGGTGTTAATCTGCTCATACAAAAATTCACTTTTGCTCTTCAGACTTGCTGACCCTTTTTATGAAGTTGGTCTAGTAAGCTTAAGGACAATCACTTGTGCGATTCTTTTACTTGTAAAGATTGACTATTGTTTTTATTTGTTAAATGAAAAAGAACATGCTTCACTATTTGGTTGATTGGGTATGATTTTGGTCCCTTTCAACTCGTTCCCTTAAAGCAAATGTATGTTTGTTGCACTCGCTATGCTTCCAACATCATCATTTTTTGAGTTGGAAGTACAACTACACATCAGTTTGATGACATTTCAACTCTTAATTTTCATTAAGCATTTTTTAAAGTTGGGTCTAGTAAGCTTAATTACACTCACTTATGCGATTCTTGTACTTGTAAGGATTATTTATTGTTTTTTATTTGTTAATTAAAAAAATAGGACATGCTTTGCTATCTGGTTGATTGGGTTTGATTTTGGTCCCTCGCAACTCGTTCCCTTGAAGCAAAAGTATATGTGTTGCACTCGCTATGCTTCTAGCTTCTTCATTATTTGAGTTGGAAGTACACTGGTGCTAACTACACAACACTTTCATGACATTTCAACTCTTATTTTTATTATCTTTTTTTTTGTTCTTTCAAAATGACAACTATGATGAGTTTCTATAGATTTGTAATGATTGGGGAAATGAACCCAATAAGTTTTACGGATGATATTATAAATTTAAGCATAATCCTGAAAGACTATGTGGATGTCATATCTTTAACTCGATAAATGTAATGGGGTTAAATCTAGCTTGATCCATACCGATTGGACCAATTGTTCCACTCCAATACAAACCAATTTAAAAATTTGAAAGTCTACATTCTGATCCAAATAAATGCCAGTGGCTTTCCAATTTAGATGGGCCCTAAAGCCAGAACCTGAAACAAAGGCAAAACAGTCCATTTACACTCCCATGGCTTAAAGGAGTGGAAATTGTCAAAACCCAGCTTAGTGGCCCGCCGCCAAACTTAGGGTTTCTGAAAAAAATTGGTCTGTTATATATAGTGAAGTTCTCATCGTTTATACGGCAGCTCTTTTCAAATAGATTACATTTCATCTGTTATTCTTTCATCTCCTTTGATTTTGATTTTTTCACAAAATTTCATATTTTTTGCTTAAATGATCTCATTTGATGAGAAAAAAACTGCAACAATATGATGGGCAAATTGTCCATGATTCCTTGTATTTAAGTCTCTGATGATTTCACTTTTTTATGTATAGATTTTGCTTTCGCTGCTATATATTTTTTTTGTTCGAAATTGTGAGATTTCTTTTTTTTTTTCGTCATGATATGGAGATATGATGAATAATTTAATTGGTCCGTGTTTCTGAATTAGCCGTGACCGATAACCCTAACCAATATCTGATCTCTTCATGTTTTTTAGTGTTTAATTATTGTTTAATTATTGTTGCTCTATGATAATCAGCCTAATTATTGGCAATATACGCTATGCCGATTATATGCATGAGTAGATAATTCATTTTGGAATATGAGAGCAGTTTTAAAAAGTCCAGGTTTAAAAATTTCTGTCTTTATTTGTGTTTTACTTATTATAATTTTTTTTTTTCTGCTGTGATGATTTATGAACTAAAATTCACATGTCAGACTTTAGAGATTTTTCCAAAGATCAATGAGAAGATAGTTTCATTTTTCCTGAGCAGATATTATTTTCTTTTTTAGTACTATATTATGTAATTATTTCAACTTTGTAAATGAAAAGTATTGCATATATGTAAATTGATTGCAATGACGACTCGGAAAATTCAAGCTCAACAGACCGGATTGCAGGTTTCAATCTCTTGTTTACTTGCATGTCGATAACCCCGCTGAGCTGAGCAATTTATTATTTCATTTATTAATATACATTTGCAATTGAATTAACTTTTGGTGAATTTGTTTCTGCGATGAGGATAAAAAGCTCCCTCTTCTGAGATTTATTGAGGACGCTTGCTGGCAGAATCGAACCAATTATAAAAATTGCCACCACTGAGCAAATCGAAATTTAACCTGCATTTTTCTTGTAATTCTTTTTTTATTGATTATTGTTTTTGTGTTGATGATGATGAAGCACTATATTCATTATTTCCAACACTTGGACTGATCTTGTGATGCAGCTAATTTGCTTCTGAATCATTTGTTATTTAATATTTTCTTTTGTTGTAAAGAGAACTCAAGTGATGAATATATTCATTTAAATCTTAGGACACCTTTGGACACAACTTATTGAGGTTGTGAATGAAAATGAACATTATTCTGATGACAAATATAGTTTTTAAATTTTAAACCATATATGTTTTATTTGAAAAAAATATTTTGTAGTGCTTAAATCATTTTATGTACGCACATAGTTCTTCTTGGGATTATTTGTTGATTGAATCCTAAGTTTTTATCTGTGCGTATAGTAATTTTGATTAAATATCCTCTCTGCTTAAGCCTACTCCACTTAAGAACAATGGTGTTGTGCTTCAATGTATTGGATTACATTTTTTTAACTGTTATTACATTTTTTTGGGCCTTCTCGGTTTGTATGTGTTGTTTGTTCAATGTAGAGTTTTAGTCTCGTATTTGAGCTTGGAATTTGAATGTGTTTTTAGAACATCACCTTGAATGCTGTCAGCAGAAAACTAAAGCAAAAGTGAGTCATTGTTTGTGCATATGGTTCTTTTCAAATCTTAGACCTTCTCCAATGTAAAAACATTAAAATAAAAATAAAATATCAAAAAATAAAGAAAAAATTTAATGACTATTTATTTATCCGATTTTATTATGTATATGATTATAATTTTATAATTAGTTGATTACATAAATAATAGTGTAAAAACATTAAAAATAAATAATAGTGTGGTTTTAAAATAGGTGGGTAGTATTGAAAAGTTCTAAAATTTGATGTAAAAGAGAATATTTTGAGAATATTCTTTTGGGTTGAAGAATGGGTTTTCGATTGGAGATGAATTACTGCAAAATGGGGTAGTTACTGCAAAATGGGTTTGAGTATGGAGTATTCGGTAGGAAATGGCCTTAAATAACAGCACTAAATCTGTTATTCAAGATTCATCTTTTAAATATATTCCATTCCATTTGTTTTTTAGTAGTAGATTGTTGAGTTGTGTCGAAGCAAAATGTGTAATTGTCCATGTTTGATACATGGATTTGAACATTAGTAAATGAAGTTCGTTCAGTAGTTGAAGCTCTATGTTCACTCATATCTATTTATATGTTACAGTTGTTATATTGTTTGAACATCAGCTCGATTGCCTGGTTGACTAATTAAATGAGTTTTGATTTGGTTCTCTATCTTGAAATGTATACAAATACTGTGTCAATAATTAACTTAATGCTACCTCTCGTACAAACTTTAGGTTTTTTCATCATATGACAGAATTTGAGAATGTTATGAAAAATTCCTAATGTTGATCATTCTATGATGAATTTTAGAATGTATAATCCTAGTGTTGATTCCAAGATCCGTGTAATAAGAATCACGGTAGTTCGATTTCACAAATACATTTATTTATATACTTAAATGACTCGGCTGCACGGACTTCTCTTATTACCCAAAAAGACCTTTATATGACAATTGCAAAAACTTCTTGAACAAAAAATTTTATGTCATGAGTGGTATGGTAGAATGATATGAGAATTGAATGATCATTCACGCACTCTTAATTAATTCTAAGGTTGTGATATAGATATGAATATTCTACTTGTCGAGTCTTTGTGAGCCAACTCGACCCATTACATGTGCCAAGTACAAAAACCTTTAAATAGATGAGCATGTCTAACTTGACCCATTACATGTGCTAAGTTGCCCAGATGAGAAATACAAAACCTGTAAATCGATGAAAACATAATATGGAATATATAACTTTATCATTAGTCTCGACCAATTTGATTACTTTATCTGTATAATTTTGAAATGAACTCTTTACAATGTATTTGTTTTTTTTAATTATTATTTAAGTTGTATATATTGCATAACTATATGTTAAAAAAATAATATTTTTCTATTGAAATATGCGATTTATATATATGTATATAAAAACTTATAAATAAATTTTTCAATAAAGATTAAATTTTGTATTTTTATTTTTTATTATAGCATTCCCATTTAAAAAATTGTTATCATGATTAGTGTAAAAAACTTAACAAAATAATTGTCACGTGTAAAAAGATTAATAAAAAAAGAAGGTTTTCATGATAATGGATTTGTATATATCTAAATCATCTTCTCCTGCAATACCGCAACATCCGTCCGCAGAAACGTGTTCATAAGAGAAGAATTAACTCAAAAACTAAATTTAACCAAATAAATTACAAATCCATTTCCTTTTTTCACGGCTAATTATCTTAAACAATTACTCATTTGATGGATGATACCATAATTTAAACTCGGCTTGATTATTAAAAGAACAGGAAATAAAAAACAGATCGGTAGACATATGAAAATGTGATTTGTAGATAGGTGAGCTTAGTCAAACAAAATCTTTTATATATATATATATATATACAAATGAAATCCAAATCCCAAAAAAACTGAAAACGTGCATGCATGGAATAAAAACAATTCAAATACCTGCATGAAAAAAAAATCAAGTTAAACTTTAGGGGGGAAAAACAGTTTTTAAGCGGGAAAGAATGACTAAAGAAGCGGGAAATGAAATAATTTTTCAAAGTTTTTCAAATAGTTTTTCTTCTCCATATTATATAGTAATAGATACCAATTATGCCATAAGGGGCTACAATTTGATTGGATTTCTTGTAGTTAGAAGTCTAGTTAAGATGGCAGGTGTTGGTTGTTTTCCAAGTATAAATTGCCTAAGTGTTATTTTTTATTTATTTATTTTTGTCGAAACGATAGGAATTTACAAATACAACACATTTTTACAACTAGAAGTCAGGCAGAAGCTGAATCTAATGGGAGGACATCCCCAAAAGGAGCCTAAACACCACAACGCACCCACGATAACACTACATAAATCCCAAGAGGAGAACCTAAATCCTAAAAGGATAATAACACACAAGAAAAACACACAAATAAACACAAAAGAATAAACATGCAAACAAGTTAGGCGAAACTCGACGGCGACGCCCACGTCGACCACTCAACTGGACCGGACCACGCCTCGAATTCCAAATCCAGAAACTACAACTCACGCCTAACAGGCGGCCCCAAAATAGTAACAAAAAGACCTCTGACCGGCTAGAACAAGCTAAAACGCCTGCATCTTGGTTGAACGTCCTCGAACCTGCAGAACTCTCTAATGTAATGTGATTGGTACAATTTTCTTCTCCAAGAAGATGGTTATTTTCAGGCTTTCAGCAACTATGATTTGATTCATATTCCATCGGAGGTTTTCTCAAGTGAAATTCAGGTCGATAATGATAGGCTAGGCGATTACAGATTCAATTACTCACTACTCAGAACAGTTAATGGGCACAACCTGGAAATCAATTCACACCAATTCTACTGTTAACAGATCCCTCAAGTTTAGGCAATTGATCAATTCATTTCTAAAAGTTTCCTTTATCAGGAATGTGACTTTTGCTCCTTTCTCTCTCTCTCTTAATTTTTTTTTTTTTTTTTCGATCTCTTCCTTTCGGATCAAGTCTTTTTGTGTTTTTCTTGGGTTTCATTTCTAACTTACCCCGGACTTGCTTGGGACAAAAAGCTATGTTGTTGTTGTTGTATCAGGATGTATGTTCGAACTGAATGTCAATTGCCAAACCAGCCCATCTGATGAACTTTGCTATGTCAGGTCACATACAACTTAATATCAATCAAATTAAAATATCGACAAAAGCAAATGCTAGAGGAAACAAACTTTTATAACTTTCACTTATATATACACACGCACACCAAAAAGAACAAAAAACCCAAACTTTCAAATGGGTTTACAAGATTACAACTTGAACTAATTATTAGGACCCCAGCAGCTCAAGTACATGACTTTCCTAAGCGATTCCTCAGATTCCGACCATCTCTTACCGGACGGCGTCATTACAACTCCGGCAGCAGCTGAATCACTTTCACGGCACTCGGATTCAAACTTTTTCTTGGCCTGACCAATTGACCTCGCAACGTTGTTCTTCGCGCTGTGATGGAAGGACCTGATTGCGTAGTTCCACCTGCAAAATCCCAATTGGTCCTTTAGTGCCTCAACAGCACCCACGCTGGCCGCCGCAATCCAGGCCCTGCTGCATTTTGTAGCGCTCATTTTTTATTTTATTTTATTTTTCTTGAAACAGCGTTTTAGGGTTTTGGCTTAAATTCTTGATGTGGGAAGGCTGATTAAAAGGTGATTTTTCTTAAGGGATCTAAGGGTTTGAAGAGAGCAGATGAGATTAGTTGTTGGTAATTTTGATTGTGTTTGGAGGTGGAGAAAAGGGGATTATGTTATATTTATAAGTTTGGTAGGTTTAGTGCACAATATTTTGTCTGTGGGCATTTTGATGGATTTTGTCCGGTGGTTTTGGAGGGGATGATGGGGGGTTTTTTAGTATTTGGTGGGGGTGGGGAAGACGGGTTGTGACTGAAATGACAACTTTAGCCCTTTTTATAGTGTTGAAATTAAAATGAGGGTTGATGTGTTGTCACTTGTGAGGTTTGTTTGGCTTGCTTTTTAGGAGCTTGGTGTGCATAAGTCTCCTAGTAGACATGACTACGGGTCGAACTGGCTCATTGACCATGGTCTTATAACTGACATGTGCATTTACCTAGGTCGATTTCGGTTCAATCATATACAAATTTTGAACTGACAGTTTAGTTTTGAATCGAAACTGGTTGTTCGTCTTATTTTTTTTTATTTTTAAATTATTTTTTTAAAAAATCATGCCAATACGTAATTGATGATTCACTGAATTGACCCGTATATATAATCAGACCAGCTCAGGGCCTCCAAAACCGCAGTCCAGAACCATCATTTTGCCACGTCTAGTCCCTAGAGTTAATATTACTTTTGAAATTTGTTAGGCTTGTTTCATTACGAACTCAAGCCGCCGGCATCCCGCTCCGCTAAATGAATGTACCGGGTAAAAAGGTTTAGAGGCACGTTAAAGAGCGACTTAATTGGGCCAGTCTGCATCCCGTAGCAAAATGGGTCGAGCGGGTCAAGGATGAGCCCTCAATAAAAAAAAACGAAAGAATATTAAATGTGTTTTATAATTACACATCAAACAACATTTCGAGAATGAAGGCAAAATTGCCTTTCTTTTCCACCTGGGATTGGGGGTACCGTTTGTTGTGCACTGTCCAAGTGCGATAGAAAAAAAATACGCTCGCACGATCTTCCTCTTCTGCACTCTCCATTCTCCAATCCAAGTTTATGTACGTATTGTTGGTGGAAATACTTTAGATGATTTGCTTTGAACTTCTTGTTGGATATGTTTGATTTCCTGGGAATGGCTTTAGTTAGCCCGGCCCACGAAACTGCGGGTTTTGTTAGGTTGAGGGTCCATTTGGCATGTCTAACTCTTGCCAGAAGTTCAGAATGGGTTTGGGATTTTGGGATATCTTGATTAAAAGAGTTCGATAATGCTCAATCAGGGCGACTGAGTAATGGAAATTTTCTCTGTCGGGATTTGATTTCTAGTTGGCAAGGCGGAGGTACGTGTGTTAATGATTGGACTCTTCTTTGCGGTGCGACGGTCTGCGAGTACAAAATTGGTTTGGGTGACTGGTTTCGTGATAAAGACAGCGTTTGTCAGGCAACCTTCGCTACTTACATCGAGGGCTCATTTTTCTCCTTTACTAGCGGAAGCGCTAGCGCTTCGTCATGGTATCCGCTTTGCTCTGGACTCAGGCTTAAAGGTGCAGGCGGTGTTGACGGACTCCTTGGAAGTCGTTAGCGGCATTGCAAACTCGGAGGATTTAGACCCTCTCTTTGAGGTGTTTACGGATATTAAGGGTCTTTTAATAGCTTTAGACTGCAGCTCGTGTTGTCATGTCTCTCGGAAGGACAACGTGGTGGCCCATAATATAGCTTATTGAGCGATCTCTTCACATTCTTCTTATTATTGGAAGGACTCTCTTTCTATTTTGTTCTCTTCTATCTTTAATTAGTTTGCATGCAGTTTTTTAAAAAAAAAAAAAAGAAAAAAAGAAAGAATAGTTATGATATTTTTTAGCTTAGTTAGATGGTAATGTAGCCTAATCATAAAATATTGACACAAATGCTACTGGCACATATGACAATAATAATACTATTTTTGGTAGACTTAGTTGAAAAGTTAATTAATAACTGATAAGTTAGTTGATAACTAGTAAGTGAATTTATAGGTTATAGCTGATAACTTATGACTGAAAAACTAGCTGATATAATAAAAATATTTGATAAAATTAATCGATAAGTCAGCTGAAATAAAAATTTCAACGAACTTATTTGAAAAATACCTAAGGATCAAACTTATGAGACAAGCTATAACTTTTTGAAAATATTTGTTCTACCAAACCAATCTTATTTGAACACATGAAGTTTATAAACTATAATAAGTTACTAAGTTATGTTATGGTGCTTACCAAACACGCTATAAATATTGATACACATAGGACACGTTTGCTTTCCTAGATAGGATTAGATTAATATGATATCGAGATGCAAGATTGTACTGTTTAGACTTTATTTATGCTATGTTTATTGTGAAAGACTAAACTTGATATAAAGTTGGGGACTAATTTGATCTTGCATTTGTTTGATATGACTAGACATAAAATACTATCATAAATTTCCACTTTCACCCTTACATCATTTTCTCAATAATTGTTTTACATTAATTTCTGTTTATCTGGATTTGCATAAAAATAAAATAATGTATTGGGTGGAAATACCATAAAAAATATATAACACGGCTATAATATATATTAAAACTAAATTGATTTAAATAATTTAATTACATCTAGAATGCAATTGCTAAAAAGTAAAATAGGTAAAGATAAATTTGATGAACGCATTTTGTTGATTATTTTCTACGTTGTTAAGACCAAGTTAAAAAAATATGTCATTGGAAGCAAATTGTATCAATTTAATAAATGTATTTCCAGTTCATTTACTCAATGTTAAGTAGGTCGACAATCTTACCAGCCTAACAAAGAATAGAGTTGTTAAATAAAATGAATCATTCTTGAGCTCCGCTCGTTAACACTCAAGTTCGGCTCGACTCATTTGATAAACAAGTCAATCGGAGTTCACTTAAAGCTCGTTTTGTTAACGAGTCGGACTGACTCAGCTCGAAAAGAGATTTTTTATATAACTCTCTATATTTCGGTTCGTTAAAGTTCGAGATCGATTCGTTATGATTCGAACTCGATTCATTAATATTGATAAACGAGCCGAACTCGACTCAGTTTACTAAGTAAGCAAACTAGAAATTGAACTCGACTTGACTCATTTACAACTATGGATAATGGGAATAGCCTTAATAGTTCATTTGACTTGGAAACTGATAGTGATCAAAATAAAACTTGAAACTGAAAAAAATCTAATAAATGGCCCAAAACCACCCGACACTGGAGAGGATCTTGTGGTGGCTAACCCACGGGCTATATCCCTGAATCCAAGTCTGTGGAATCCATAAAACCTGGGGCCACCACTTCTTGTTTTCTTCATCAAACCACCACACAATACCACACAAATTATTCTAATATCTCACGCCAATTGACATTTCCCTCCACATCATTTTCGCTTTTTCTCTTTTTTCTCACTTCATTATTAAAAAGTAATCATTATATTATGAGATATCGTATTTATATCTGTATTATATTTAAAAGTATAATATTTGAACATAAAATTAGGTAAATATATTAAGTATGACTATCTAACAATTAAGGGGTTGGATATAAATATAACCTGTTTTGATTGGATTTATTGGTTAAATTGAATTAATTTTGAATAAAATTAATTAAGATTTTGAGTTTATATTTAAATAATATTTAAAATATAATGGGTTAATGTTGATGTGATATAAAATATGAGAAAAATTATTGGAAATGATAGCTAATAAAAAAGTATGTGAGTAGATCAGTAGATGAATAGTGAATTAAAATTGATGTGATATATATAGAAGATTAGTATTAATTTAATTATATCAATAAGTGAGTATAATATATGAGTATTAATTTAATTATATTGATAATATTGAGCATAGTTGAATTGAATTAAAATTGAATTGAATTATGAGTTAAAAGGTGTAAAAAAATTATCCCTCAAACGGATTTTAATTTGTAGTCAATTGCCCCTTAATAACTAGTCTATGTTTATTAATATATATATATATATATATATATATATATATATATACCTCTCCTCAAGTTCTCAAGACTCGGGAAAAATCTCATATTTTTCCATGACATAATAATTTCCTTTTTCCTATCAAGCTACTTTCTGAAGGGCTGAGAGCAAGAAAAGAAAAGAAAAAATGGTGCTTACCACCGTGATTGCACCTTCTACGCCGGTGACCGGTGCTCAGGAATCCGGCAACATCCGCCGTGACAAGTGGTTTTCCGGCGGCGGCACCACCGCGGAGAAGGTGGGGACGGCCAAGTTTGGCCGTGAGGAGTTCGAGATGATGAGGAGAACAAGGGAAGCCGAGAAGGCCGAGAGAGTTATGCACCTGATTTGCTGGGGTCCCACCAAGTAGAGAGTTTGAGAGATTTTATATTATCTTCAATTTCATATTATAAATAGAGTTAATTTAATCTCGCTTTTAATTTTAATCAGTACTGTATAGTTAATTTTTCAGCATATGAGCATAATGATTATATATTTCAAGTTCTGTCAGAAGGAACGTGGTTATTGTGATGGTATAAGGGAATATTATATATGTCTCTAGTGATTATATATAAATTAAAGAGCTGTTATGGGGCACTATTTTATTTATATATAAATATGCTTGATTAATGTTTGATTATGGATAAGACCATAGTGGATATATGAATGNTGTTTAGTCTATATTACTTATTGGCCATGGGATTTATATACTGTGATGAGATGAAAAAGGAAGAAAACTGTTCCTCCTAGTTGGTAATTGGTGAATATGTTTTATTAGTTTTTCATACTAATGTTTTCTGGTGATTTCAGAATGGAAATCATTACGTAGGAGCATACAGTTTTCATTCATTAATTTTGTATCAACATTTACATATTTTGTAAATCAGTAATATTGGTGTAGTCAAATCGGTTAGGCAACTATTTTTCAATAAATATACATATTTTCACATTGAAATATCATACTTTAAAAAATAAAATTTAAACTAAAGTAGTATGTATTTTTACAAGGGGAACAAAGGTAGAGCAGATTTACAACTTTTATACAAATCAGATTAATGCTCCGAATTCAAATGATTAATTTGGTAATAACTCAAACCAGTCGAGATTCAAAATTATCTTAGAAAGAAAAATTGATTAAGTTTATTTTGAACAACAATATTTATTATGAGATGATAAAATGTAGAACACAAGCACACTTTTTACGAAAAGAAATTATAAGCGTATCTATATATATATAAAGAAGACCAGCATAACATTTAATTATATTATTATGCATTAAATTTTATTATCCCTCCAAAATTTTCAACATTCGATTTCATTTTTAAGTTACAAAATAACTTGCTTGAATGCCATAAATTATGAGAATAAACCAATCAAGGGAATTACAAAATTGTACTAGAATTTTAAGTCACACCCACATGAAAATAGCCGGATGTATTAGCATAAAGAAAGTGGTTGTAACGGCTCTTCCATAGCAATTACTTGATCAAAATCAATTTTGAGAATTATTTTCTTAATTCATATTTTTTCATGAATTAAATTATGATTTATTTTTATTTATTTTTATATTGTTATCTTTTTAAAATATGATTCTATCTGCAAATGCACAGGTTGATTACTAGTATAATTCAAATCTTAAACTAAATAAATATAAAAATCCAAAATAGGAAATACTGGTAATAATTAAAAGGCTAAAACTGGCTAAAGATTGTGGGTTTTGGTTGGATTTTATTGATTAAAGTGAGTTATTTTAAATAAAGTTGATCGAGTGGATGATGAAATTTGAGTTTGTAATTAAATAATATTTTAAATATAATAATTAAAGCTGATGTGATGTAAAAATAGGAGATAAATTATTGAAAGTCACGATTAATTGATTAGTTAAAATTATGTGAGTAAATGAATAGTGAGTTAAGGTTGATGTGATGTGTGCAGTGTGAGGATGATTGATTGATATTTTTTAGTTATATTGATAATATTGAGGAGACTTGAGTTAAGTTGGATTTTAATTTAGAATATTGAAAACAAAATAACTTTAATCGATCAAAACTAATTAAAATTGATTTTGCCTCATATCCAAACGCGTCCTTAGTCCTGGCGCAATTGGATGCTCCAGTTTGAACTCGTGCTTATTTAATAAACAAAATAATAAATTTAAGTTCATGAAAGTTCAACTCTACTCCTCAATTCGTAACAAATTAAAACCTTAAACAAGTTGTAAGCGAATATGAAATATTCGTTCGTCAACAAGTTTTGAATTGTCAGTTATAAAAAAAAAAAAAAAAAACAAGTTATCGGCGAATAAACTTAGATAAATTCGTTGAAGAACAATTTGAGCTAAAAGTTTTATGAGTGAAACCAAGTTGTGTTCGTGAAATATCACGCTTCTTTTAGTTAGTGTTTAGTTGGAGGAAAAAGGAACGAAGGAGAGGAGAGGGAAGAGATTTTTTTATTTTTCCTTTGTTTGGTTGGGAAATTTGGACAGGAAGAGAGAAATTTTAACTTAAAATTCCCTCCCTTTTCCATTTTTGCTCCTCTCCAAAAATGGAATTTGGAGGAAGGGGAAATTTTAATACTCCTAGTTACATTATTACCCTTAATATATATATATATATATATATATATAATATTTTAGTTTTTATTTCTACATCATTAAAGATATATTGATCATTCTAATATTATTTTTCCCTCCTTGTCAGTTCTTATCAAGCAAAGTTTATCATTTTTCCTAATTCACCTCTAACAAAATCCATCCAAGTAAAATAAAATTATTTAAATCACCTCCCTTTCCGTCCTCTCTCCTCACACTGCCTTCCTTCCATTTTCTCTATTGAACCAAATACACTCTTAGTTAGGGCTGCAAACGAGTCGAGCAGCTTGCGAGCGCTTGAGTCAAAGCTCGATTTGAGCTCGAGTTTGACCGAACTCAAGTCGAGCTCGTGCGGCTCGAGCACGAACTCCAGTCGAGCTCGAACCTATATTTTGCATTGTCGAGCGGCTCGCGAGCAGCTCAAGTTTGAAATTATTAAAATGCCCCTTCTGTATATATGTACTTAAATGGTTATTTTACAAATTTGCTTGAAAAATTTCGTATCGAACTCGAGCCGAGTTCGAGCATTTTGAATTCGAGTCGAGCTCGAGCTCTTGTATTTTTTTATTGAGTCGAGCTCGAGCCTAAAAAATAAAGTTCGACGAGTTTGAGCTCGAGCAGCTAAAAAGAAAAATCAATCCTACTCGATAAGGCTAATGCTTGACTCATCTCGACTCGTTTGCAGTCCTAGTCTTAGCTGCACATCAACTACATATCATCATCGAGTCACAGCATATGTTAACGTGTCAAATTCTGATTCGTTTACACCTGACATCCTAAATTGCAGAAAAAAAAAAACCATTTTTCTTTTGGCTGGAAATCCACTCCTAATCCTAATAAATCATGAAATTTATTTTCTCCTCTGAATGAAATATTCTCCAATTCATTGACAAGGGAAAAGTGGAAATCAGCTTCGTCGCATCAATGGCGGCCGTCACTTCAGTATCATTAGCCGCCGTAACTCAGTCCGCCGACCGGAAAATCTCGGGTCCGTCTGCTCGTAATTTTCTAGCGCTCAATAACCTCCGGTTGACCCACAGTTCTTGTAGCTTTCGAAGATGGAGCTCGAGTTCTCGTATGGTAGTTCGTTGTATGTCCACAGCCGCAGGCAAGTGTGTGGCTATCTCTTTTGAGATTTACTTGTTTATTCCTCTTTTTTTTGAGTTGAACTTGGGTGTTACATTCTGTTAATTGTGGATGCTACATTTGTGACTGCTGAACTTTTTTGACATATGATATGAGTAGAACATCAGCGTTCAGTATAACTCTTTTCCGTTTTAACCAATTGTCTTTGTGCAAAGGTAAATAAATATCAGATGTGTGTGATTTTATGTTGAATTGAGAATGGATGATGTTTAAGCAGTCTTACACAGGGATGGGTCCTCTTAGACTATCAGGTGTGACACGGCCTAACCGTTAGGCGGTCGACTCGTCATGCCTTTTTAACAACAAAATGAGAAATAAAAAGAAAGCCATATTTATGCTATGAAATATCATACTTCTTTTATGTTGTTTTTAAGATTATGACACTTCGTTTTGAAAGTATGAATACCTATTGAAAAAGTATGACTGTGGGTTAGGCATGAGCCTTTAATGGAATGAATGACATTGAAATAGTTGCTTCAATGGTAACAGTATAACCCCTCAAACATTTTGCAGAGTAGGTAAGAGATTTTACCGTCCTAAATGGTATTTCAAATTAGCAAAATCCATTATTTATGAATATTTATAGAAAACAATCACTCAACCGTAATCTTACTCCACACTGGTGCACTCTCAGTTCATACGTTTCCTTGCTCAATAATATATTTACATGGTAAGAACTAAGAAATTCAAATTAAACTGCAAACTTAGTATTTGTATATGTTGAATTGAATATCCGCTGTTTAAGTGTTGTTGCATAATGTATGAATTGTATGCTGCCAACTTATGCCCCAAAACATTATACTAGAATGATCTTCTGTAATGTTATTGATATTATTCAGCATGATTTGAATAAGGAAAATGTCTTAAATCTACCTTAAACATGCTGAGGTTTGAGAATATGCGCTGAGAATTCTTTGATTAAACATGTTCATTTCTTTGCTTTTAGTGATTTTACCAACTAATTTGCTCTCTCTTAAAGCTTTAGAACTGATTCAAATTTTGCCGTTTATGCTCATTGCTTGCAGACCCGCCGACAGTTTCTGAAACAAAGTTGAATTTCTTGAACGCATATAAGAGGCCGATTCCTAGTATATACAACACAGTGTTGCAAGAGCTTATTGTACAACAACATTTGATGAGGTACAAGAGGTCATATTGTTATGATCCCATATTTGCACTTGGTTTTGTTACAGTGTATGATCAGCTCATGGATGGATATCCTAGCAATGAGGACCGAGAGGCCATCTTCAAAGCATACATTGAGGCTCTAAATGAGGATCCTGCTCAATACAGGTCGTTTGGAACCTCTTGAACACAAACATAGGCCGTGCTTGTTAATAAAAAAAACTAGAAAAAAAAACTGTTTCTTTTTTTTTTTTGGTTTTTTGTGTTAACTAGAGTGTATTTGAAAAAAGTTAGTATGATTAGTTGTTAGTGGGATTTTAAGAATGTATTAAAATAATATTTAAAATAAAATGATTAAAATTGATTTGATGTAAAAAGTAGGAGATAAATGATTGGTAATGATAGATAGCTAAAATTATGTGAGTGGATGAATAGTGAATTAAAGCTGATGTGATGTGTAAGAATGATTGAATGATATTATTTAATTATATTGATAATATTGAGATAGTGAGATTGAGTTAAAGTTGAGTTAGATTTTGAATTGAGATAGTTTTTTTCTAGTTTTCTTATAAACAAGCAAAGCCTTAGTATTTGTTATGTTGTTTTTTCCAATTTACATGTGATAGACATGAAGTAATATATAACATTCTTTCACGAAGTGGTATCTTGACTCAATGTTGAGATTGAATCACATGATCGTGCATGTAAAGGGCATTTATGATATATACATGGTCGAATCGCAATGTTAGCACTTCATGTAGACTGGACAAGAACTGTTCTTTTGCTTCTTT